GGGCCTCTCTGGACTGCAGAGGCCCCTTTCCTACAAAGATGTGGAGGCTGCTCTAGCCAAGGTGGGCCCTCGGGCCTCCCCCAAGGAGCTGGACTCGCTAGTGGAGTGGGACAAAATGTATGGCTCCGGACACTGAGGGTGGCGTGGGGAAGGCCACCTCCGCCTGAGGCGATGTCCTTGGCTGAAGGAGTGATGAATGTGGGGTGGAAGAGGGGAATGCTCTGCCGGTCGATTTGTTTTTCATGGGAAGGAAAACGCTTCTGCCAGGCAGATCGATGCCATATGCACCATGTACTCAGGTTTCTCCTATTTATTGTGGATGGGACGTTCGTCATCTCCGCCGGGCAGACCGGGCACACCCAGCATGAGCTGGCACCAGGGCCTAGGGAACTCCAGCCCCCTCTCCACAATCCTTTTGTCTCCTTGCCCTCTGAGCGGCACCCTCCTTTTCCATTTCCCCCCTTTCCTACCTTCTCTGTAGTATTGGCTTAGTTTTCTCCACAATCCTTTTGTCTCCTTGCCCTCTGAGCGGCACCCTCCTTTTCCATTTCCCCCCTTTCCTACCTTCTCTGTAGTATTGGCTTAGTTTTCTCCCCAAGGCTTTGTCACTGATCCTTCCTCATACTGTCCCTGTTCTTTTATACTCCTCCTACTGGTGTCCCCCCCCCCGCCCCTCCCAGGACCGCCCTCTGTGCTTTTCTGTGTAGCTAGCTCTGTGTATCCTGGACCCTGGGCTTTACTCCTCCCTCCCCGCTGGTCCTCATTCACACTGCAGTGTCTCTTGGCTGAGTTCCTTTGGCCCAGAGGCTGAGGAGGGGAGGAGTAGGGAGCCCCAACCCCCTCAGGACATTACCCATGAAATCTTGGGTCTTTGGGGGTGGGAACAAGGGGGAAAAACACCCAAAGAAGGGTTTTTGTTTGTTTGGTTGTTGTTTTTTTTTTTTTTTTTTTTTTTTTTTTTTTTTTTTTTTTTTTTGGTTTGTTCATTTTTGAGGGGAAGTCCCAGAAATGTAGGTTGCTTAATATTTTAGGCCTCTTATTTTTGTAAGATGTGTAGGATTTGCTGTTTTTCGTTTTATTTTGACAACTCAGGAAGAAACTGACCTCAGAAAGAATGTTAGACTTTGCCTGCTCTCCTGTTACCCCCAGCCCCACCCCAGGGGAGCAGATTCTCCCAGACCAGAGAGACTTGGGGCTGATGAGGAACACCAGACATGAGCCCCAAACTGCTGTTACTGGGACAGAAACAGAATGTATCTAAGGGCTTCCTCCCCAGGCCCAGCTTGCAAGCAAGAGGTGAAGGTGGGGGCAGGGAACTCCAGAGGGTGAGTGAGGATTGCTCCTTTCTTGCCACTCTGTCCTGTGGGCTCCAGTCCTCGGCTCCAACTTGTCTGTGAAGGTTACAGAGAGTTGGGGTGCTCTTGCCCATGTCCTGCCTCAGAGGTGACCCAGGTGGGACGTTCTCAGGCCACCTCACTGGACACCTGCTAGGTCAGAGGCACCCTATCCAAGATAAGAGGATTCCCTCAGGAATGAAGATGGTCTAGCCAGGAGTCTGGCTGGGCATACAATACTGACTACTAGGAACCAGGCCACCTGTCCCTCTGGGACCTGTCAGAAAGCTCTGCAGGGTAGTGTGTTTACTTGTTCCCCTAGAGTGTTGGGCCTGGAGAGTACAGGCTATTTTTCCATGACAGAGGGACTAGAGCCCTTCTCTTCAAGCCCTATTCCTCCTCCTGTTCGTTCCCTTAATGGGGCATCAGCTGTTTAGCCCTTCACACTGTTTCACAATCTTTGGTGCAACGAAAGAACACTCCCCATTTTTGTCCCACCCTTGCCCCCTGCTTGTTCCTACAGTTCCTAGTCTCCTTCATTGTCTGGGTGCTGAAGATGGCATGAGAGCCTTGGCAGGGGCCAGGGTGCTGAGGGCAGTTGCTAGCCTTGAGTGTGAACAGGAAAGCTGCTGTGTCTCCTTCATCCTTGTTCTCTCTGATCCTCTCTCTGGAGCCAGTCAACTGAGGGCAGGACTCAAAGCAAGTGGCCCAGAGTGCTGCTGCCAAAAGACCCTTGGTGGGAACATGGAGTAAGGGGAGTTCTGTCTGGTCTTGGGGTGGGGTGGGGGGTAGAGGGGCAGGGAAGTGGAGTTGGGCACCCAGCTGTCCCTTCAAGCAGCAGCACCTCTAGGGGGCTCAGTAGAAGTTCATGGACCAATCCCCGGAGTCCCCATACTTCCTTTGCTGGGCTCTTTCTGTTCCCAGGTTTGGAAGCTTTGCACAAGAAGACAGCCCCCGGTTGCAGCACCTACCTCAGGAGCACGGGGCAGGATGGTAGGGCAGGTCCAGCCCTAGCAATGTTGGGGGCATACCAAAGAATCCAGGGGTGGAGTGCAGGGGTGGGGGGCAGCATGCCCTTCAGGGGAGGGCACACTGGCCATCCACCCCCTTTGCTAATATTGGGTTGGGAACCTCTCCTTCAGCTGTAACCATTTCTACCTCATTTTGCTGTGTGTTGTACATGGGCATATTTATCTCCTGTCCGATAATGCTCTGCAGTTGTGGTCTGTCTACCTCAGAAGAGACTGTATTTTAAAAGAAAATATTACACAGTATTAAAGTTATGACGTGTGGCATCCGAGGATTTATTTGGGGTCGTGGGATGCAGGAAGTGTTGGCCACTCAGGTCTATCAGTGCCCTGGCTGTGGCTCTGGGTGCTTCTGTTCCTTCAGCAGAAAGTTATGGGACTTTCAATCCATGGTTGTCCACTGCTGGCCCAAGATCACATATAAGGAGCCTTCCATCCTGGCTGATTCACTTTAGCCCTAGACTCTGAAATATTAGGAGCAGTGAAGTGTGGACATGTTTGGTGAATGAATGCATGAACAAAAGAGGGCTGAAGAGGAAGATGAGCCCTCAAGCACGTGACAGCAGCCCTGGTTGAGTGAGGTAAAGGTCATACTGGTCTTCCACAGGGTGGAGGGCAAGGTGTAGGGGCCACATGAGCCCCCTTGTCCATTTCCTCACTGTCTTTCAGTCCCAATTATCTTTGATAGCTCATGATAAACTGAGAGATGGAAAAATTAGGAACACTATGGAACTCTGTGGAGAGGCTGGGATCCACTACTCAGGGCCTGGCCTGCCACAGGCCAAGGGGAACAGTGTGCTGGGCTCCCTCTTAGGATTCACTACAGGCTCACAGGAGGCAAAGCCAGAAGCAGCCTCGGGGGGACAAATGGGGTATTTCCAGGATTCAAAGAGCCTTACCTTTTGGTCCTTGGAAGTTCAGACATGTCCTCTTGCAGTTTATCATGTACCTATTATATGATGACATTGTGGGGATGTTGAAAAAAACCACTCACCCAAACTTCCAAGGACACCTCTGAGAACCCATAGTGGGGACAGTCCTCCAAGCAGATCATATAAATATATGGCTAGGAGAAGCAGGTAAGGGTGCTGGTGGTGAATCATAGGAATCTTCTCACAGCTGGTGCAACTGTTTGATTTTGAGACTTCTGTTTAGCAGCCCCCTGT